GATGCCAAAAAATATTATTTATATGTAAAGCAATTAAATTCTAGGCTCAGGGGTTATTCACCTACAGGAATATCGAATAGATATTCTAAAATTATGAGGAATGCTGGATAATTCTTTTGTACCCTGTGCCTACCGCAGTATCCAGCGCCCCTGGCCCTTTCCCACTATGTGTGGGTAAAATTCTTGATCCCTATGAAAATTAAAAAACACCTATAGAGGGCAGCACTACCATTCTTTGAAAACTGTTGCCAGAGGATCAAACATCAAGCCTGGGTATTTTCTAAGGATTCCTTCTCACCAAGAAGAGGTGTAGCAGGTACTCAGGTACCTAGAGCATCAACAATAACTTTGCGTGGGTGTAAGTGCTGTGCCAATCACCCAGAGCTCCTAAGTGGGATCTCAGAAAGCTCTTGGGGATTTATTTTTGTTTCCCTTTTAAAGCAGAATTCCAGGGTGGGGTGGTACTCCGAGGTCTCCGCAGGAAGCATGTGCTGGACTGTGGGCAGGGACCAGCACTGCGTAGTGGGTCATTTTTGTATTTCTCTTCCTTAGCCACCTGGGAACATACGGAGTTTTTACAAATGCTGCATTTGACCCGAGCCCTTAAGGTAAGTTACCCCTGAAGATATTTTTGAAGGAAATGGAACAGTAGGGGAAAGAGAAAGAATGTTAAACCTTGATGTTTCATTATATAATTAAACTATAGGTTTATAATATAATATATATATAATAAATATAATATAATATATAATAAAATAGTTCAATTTTAAGTATGTATTAAGCTTTTAAGACTTGAAGGAAATTGTTTTGGCAGCTGGGGATAAGATATGTCACTAGAGTGACAATAGAAAAGTTAAGTTTATATGAGGGTTTCCATTTCCTCCAGGCTAGAAATGTTCTAACAAGATATAACTATTTTCAGGATGTGTGACATTCCCATTAATGGCTGCTTGGAGGTATTAACAACCCCATGGCCTTGCCTGATGGCCAGAAGTCATATTATTAGAAAAATTGTACCGACTTTTTTTTAAAGATTTTATTTATTTGACAGACAGAGATCACAAGTAGGCAGAGAGGCAGGCAGAGAGAGAGGGAGGGAAGCAGGCTCCCCGCTGAGCAGAGAGCCCAATGTGGGGCTCCATCTGAGGACCCTGACATCATGACCTGAGCTGAAGGCAGAGGCTTAATTAACCCACTGAGCCACCTAGGCTCCCCTTACCAACTTTTATGGAGCCAATTCCCTCTGTGACTTGCTGGGACAACAAAAATAATCTGACACTTTCTTTCTTCCCAAAAGGTCCGTGAGTAGTGGAGTTTCCTAAGGAAAGTCGCCTAGATGGCAAAATGTTTGGAATCCAGAAAGAGACTACGTGGATCTTTAGGGGACAGATATGCTGAGCGCTCTCTGTCTTGCTTACAAGCTTGCTTGCTTGCTTTCTTTTAAGGAAAATTGATTTAGTTTAATTACTTCTGTCTCGTTTTCAGAGACTATCCTGCTGATCTCCTCACTCAACCTCCACAGGATCCTATTTTTGAACATCAGGCTTCCTGCCAGACTTGACTTCAGCTGTAGCATGTTTGCTGCGGTTTTCTGGAAATACTTGTTTTAAAAGGACATGGGGTTTCCTGTAGATTAGTTCTGGGTGAGAGCAGAAGGATTGTGCCACAAGCCCAGACTCTCCAGCCACCACTCCTTCCTGCTCCACCTCTTCCTTAAGCCCCGGAAGCTGGGGCTGGAGATCTGCCGTGGTGTGGGTTTTGCTGTCCCTTTCTTGATAGACTCATTAACCAGAGACCGAAGCATCTGGCTTACCAGAAGATCGGACTGTGGAAAAATTAAAATGCCTCTTTATTTTTGGACTGGAGGAAGGCATACGCTACTGGTTGGAAGGCAGCTGGTGTCTGTGACTTGAGGGAATTTCTGTAAGACCTTCTGGGGTCTCCAGTGATTGCTGTTTATGCAGCCCTATTAGACCTGTGTCGCAAGGCTTCCAGAGAAGCCTCTGGAAGGCACCAGAGAGTCCAGAATCAACATAGAGACCAGAATCAACATTGTGCCAGAAGACCAAGAATCAACATAGGAAGCCACGTGTCCCCTTCCCTTCACTGGTCACTCTCCTCAAAAGAACCTCAAGACCAAAATTCAAATGTGCAATTAAAAAGATTCTTCCCGAATGCCATGCTCTATTATTTGATGTTTTGTTCAGTGGGATCTGTGTACATCATTTTGTTTACATCGATGTAAAGCACAATTACCGTTGTCCCAAGTACAGATTAACCTTTCAATCAGTCAGCAAATATATACCATATCACTGCCCACCCCCCGCCAGAATCAAAGAAGAAAAAATCAGAAAATTAGAGAAGCAGAAAAAATCCTCAACACTTGAACGTCCTATAAGGAAGAAGAGATGTTATTTATTAAATCACATGTTTAATATGTAGATTGTTGAAAGTTACATAGTAATCTGGAACTGATGTGAAAAGTAGAGAGCCAAACAATACAGTTATCTTGTCTCTGTGAAATGTGAGGCAATAAACGTATCGTGCACAATGAACGACTCATGGGCCAATATGCAAATAAAATTGTGAAAGAGTCTAACTAAAGGTTACAATAATTTTGCAAGAACTTTGGCAGTAAACTTGGGATTGAGGGACACACTGCTTTTTAAAGTTTCTCTCATATACTGTTGATAACACCTCTGCTTGTCTTACGCCAATCACTAGGCTGGGTATCATGGGACAGTGGTTACCAGCCCTGTGTCAGAGTCAGAATCTACAATTTGTGGGGCGCCTGGGTGGCTCAGTGGTAAAGTCTCTGCCTTTGGCTCAGGTCATGATCCCAGGGTCCTGGGATCGAGCCCTGCATCGGGTTCTCTGCTCAGCAGGGAGCCTGCTTCCCTCCCTCTCTCTCTGCCTGCCTCTCTGCCTACTTGTGATCTCTCTCTGTCAAATAAATAAATAAAATCTTAAAAAAAAAAAAAGAATCTGCAACTTGTGAAAGCTACCCAGGGAATTCTGATGGTTGTCAGCTTCTATGGCTCTCACAGATACAGAAGAGTAAGACACTGTTGCACTCTTAAACAGTTTATAATCTAGTCGGGAAACAATAGTTACCACACAAATAGAGGGCATTTGATATGAGTATCATATGTGAATATCGTGGTAGTTCATTAAATGGAAAAGGTCGGTTTGAGTCCAGAATTAAGGAGAGAGGACTCTGAACGGACACTGTTCAGCAACGAGGGAGGGGTGGGTATTCTAAGCGGACAGGGTATATCAGCAAAGGAGCAGACGGGACTGTGTGGAGGAGGAGTGAAGTGTGGAGAATCCGGACATCATGGAGACCTCATGTGAGGTGCCAGGTTACAATGTAGCAGATCTATTGAGACAAACCGTATTTACGTATTTACGACAGAAGCTGGGAGCATGCCTGGATGGCTCAGCCCATAAAGCATCTGCCTACCGCTCAGGTCATGATCCCAGGGTCCTGGGGTTGAGTCCCTTATCAGGCTCCTTGCTCAGCAGGGAGCCTGCTTTTCCCTCTGCTAGTCTCTCTTTCTCTCTGGCAAATAAATAAATAAAATCTTTTTTTTTTTAAAGACAAACTTGGAGGAATGCAGATTCAAGGAATCTCAGACAGTTATAATAATGCTCAGGTTTCTCAGGTTTTCTATCAATAGCAAAATAAGATCTGATTTTTTAATTATTATGTTATGGTAGTCACCATACAGTACATCATTAGTTTTTGATGTAGCGTTCCATGATTCACTGTTATTGTGAAACACCCAGTGCTCCGTGCAATATGTGCCCTCCTTAATATCCATCACCAGGCCAGCCCATCCCCCTACCCCCTCTCCTCTAAAACCCTCAGTTTGTTTCTTGGAGTCCACAGTCTCTCATGGTTCATCTCCCCCTCTGATCCCCCCACCTTCATTTTTCCCTGCCTTTTAATGTCCTCCATACTATTCCTTATGTTCCACAAATAGGTGAAACCATATGATAATTGCCTTTCTCCGCTTGACGTATTTCACTCAGCATAATCTCCTACAGTTCCGTCCAGGTTGAGGGAATAGTTGAGTGTTCATCCTTTCTGATGGCTGAGTGATATTCCATTGTGTACACATGGACCACATCTTCTTTATCCATTCGTCCGTTGAAGGGCATCTCTGCTCCTTCCACAGTTCGGCAACTGTGGCCATTGCTGCTATGAACACTGGGGTACAGGTGGCCCTTCTTTTCACTAGATCTGTATCTTACGGGTAAATACCCAGTAGTGCGATTGCTTAAGGCCGTGTGAAACAGCCAGATCCTCCAAGAAACCCAAGGGGCCCCTGAGGCAGGAAAACCCCAGTCATAGTAACACAGGTGTGCTCCACGCTCCGCTGCTAGGAATCAGAGCCCTCACAGTATCTTTCTCTCGTCCCAACAGGTGTCTCTGGAAAAGATTATCACCCTCTTGCGCAGATGTCAAAACTGAGCTCTAAAGACGTCGCGCCTCTGCCCACGCCGGCACAGCTAGTAAGTGGGACCGAGTCTGCTCTGCTGCCTCTGTGGCCGCGGCCGAACTGCGCAGGGGTGGGAACCGGGGAGCGGTCCAGGCCCACAGACCCGCTCTGGGCCGTTACGGACCCGTGCACTCATCCCCTTGCTTCCTCACTGACATGACGGTGGCTCGGTGCCCCTAACGAGGCATTACCCTTCCCCCAGATCCCGGGGAAACTGAGGCAGTAGAGGGCATGGGGTGAGGGTCTGGCAAACGTCAACTTGGCCCTGGCAGTTCACGGCGGGAGGTGAGGGAGGGGCCGCCGCCCTGGGGGCCCCCCAGGTGCAGGCGCGGGCACGGTTCTGCCTGCGCCTCGCGAGTCCACGGAGCCGGCGGGCTCTGCCCTGTCTCCACCTGCTCCCGCGCGCCGGCTCCGCCCCGAGGACCGCCCCCTGCCGCAGCCCCGGCCCCGCGCCAGCCGACGGCGGGAGGACACCGCCTCCCGCAGCCGCCGGAGTGCACGCGCGCCCGGCCGCGTCCCCGAGCAGGACAGCCATGGCCCCGCGCGGCCCGCGCCTCGGCGTCCTGGGCGTCCTGGCGGTCCTGGGCGCCTGCTGCGGGGCGGCGGCCGCGCGGCTGTGGCAGTTCTACGTGGCGGCCCAGGGCGTGGACTGGAGCTACCGGCCCGAGACCCCCGAGCCCAGGTGAGGCGCGGGCGGGCTGCGGGGAGGGACGGCGATCGCGCGCGGGGACGTGCCTCCCGCAGCTCCACCACTTAAAAAACAAACAAACAAACAAAAAACAAAACAGAAAAAGCCCAACAACTTATTGCTCATTTTTAACCAAAATCGCTATTTTGCTTCTGACCGTAGAGTGCACCGGAGGCTCCGCGCGGTCGTCTGCGCGCGGCTGGAAGGGTGGGTTGATGGGGGTTGTTGCTGGGGTCGTGGGCTTGATCTGCGCGTTGGTTCGGAAGCTCCAGGCACGACCCCCTCGCGAGCCCCGCTGTAGAGTCCCTTCCCGGGTCCGAGGCGCCCGGGACTTTACGGACCCCCGGGCCGGAGCAGTGACCGGGTCCCCCGCAGCCTCCGACAGCTGGAGACGCGCGCACCGTCCGCGGTCGAAGTGGGCTGTTCAGTGGCACTGGCCGAGCGGCCGTGGTTTCCGATTTGTGGGCTTTCATCGCCCACCGGGCCATAGACATGCCGCATTTTTGGTTTTTCACCTTTTCTTCCACTTCGTGGGACTCTTCGCTTCTGTCACATTCTTAGTCCCGGGGATCCGGTCTGCCCTGGCCAGTGTGGAAGGTCGCCGTGTAAGGAAACGGTGGCTTAAGTAACAAAACTCTATTTCTGAACTACAAATTGTTTTTCCTAATTGAAGGGCTAAAAACAAGACCTCCCAGAAATTAAACAAATTGTAGGACCTACTCATTATTTCCATTTGGTTATATTTTTATATTTTTTATTAGTAAACCTCTCAGTGTGACTCAGTTTTTTTTTTTTTAACTAAACATCACCATTTAAATGATTGTGAAAGACAAGTTCCTCTTTTATGATTACAAAACCAGAGCAGTCTCCCAAGAAATAATATTTTAAGTCTGGTAGTGCATAACATGAAACCCCTTAAAGAATTACTTTGTAACTGTGTTGTTTTGGACAGTATTACATATTACCTGGGTCTTGTAACAATAAGAATTTTGTTTTATTTTTTTAAAGATTTATTTATTTATTGGAGATAGAGGGAGAGGGATAGAGAACACAGCAGGGGGAGCAGCAGCAGGAGACAGAGAAGCTGGTTCTCCGCTGAGCAGGGAGCTGATGCGAGACTCGATCCCAGGACCCTGGGGTCATACGTGACCTGAGCTGAGGGCAGACGCTTAACCCACTGAGCCACCTAGTTGCCCCCCAAGAAATCCTTTAAAAAAATCATTTTAGGGTGCCTGGGTGGCTCAGTGGGTTAAAGCCTCTGCCTTCCGCTTGGGTCATGATCCGGGAGTCCTGGGATCAAGCCCTACATCAGGCTCTCTGCTTTGCAGGGAACCTGTTTCCTCCTCTCTCTCTGCCTACCTCTCTGCCTACTTGTGATCTCTGTCAAATAAATAAATAAAATATATATTTTTAAATCATTTTAAATATTGTCTTTTGAGTTGATGATCTAGATCATACCCATACCCTTACAGAACTGCCAAAACCCCAAAGAAAATCATAGGCTTTCCAACATTAATTTCTCTTGCTCATGGCCAGACATTATCATGCTGGCTATCTTTGCTGGGATACTCCGTGCTTATGCTTGGGAGCTTGTCCTTTCTTCTGTAGTTAGCTCTGAAAAATAACAAGCAGAATATTGGAAGCAGAACCACATAGAGAAAAAGCCTGACTCACACAGGGGCACTCCAAAGGGAACCATGACTGTTGATCTGATCCCCTCGATCTATGGTTGAGTTTCCAGAATTCTGGTAAGAGTCATACTTCTGGTGTCAATTATTGAGCCAAAACCATACAGTGACAACCTAGACCAACTGTCAAGATTTTTGAACTTCAAATCATATCATTTTCCCTTGGTACTTTCTCATGAAAAAATCTAACCTGTACATCCAGCTGCTTAAACTAAGAACTTGTACTAAATGTCCCGCACCTACAGTGGAATGATCCTTTCCGTAAGGATATCAACATAACCACCTGTTTTTTTGCCAAAGTGAGTTTCAGCACAAAGCAAAGATCTTTCCTCTTACTTCATCTAATATTAGCAGGAGAATACTTTTAGAGGTGGGATATATCTATTATTCTTGTCTGAAGTCTGAAGTAAATGTTTTTGGAAACTTCCCTAAGGAAACTTTTTCAGTCACTTACAGGTATGTGGCAACAGATATTGAAGTAAAAACATATATATTGGGCTGCCTGGGTGGCTCAGTGGGTTAAAGCCTCTGCCTTCGGCTCAGGTCATGATCTCAGGGTCCTGGGATTGAGCCTCGAATCGGGCTCTCTGCTCAGTGGAGAGCCTGCTTCCTCCTCTCTCTCTGCCTGCCTCTCTGCCTACTTGTGATCTCTGTCTGTCAAATAAATAAATAAAATCTTAAATATATATATATATATTTTTTTTTTCTTTTCCCTCTAGAGTTCAAGGGTCCCACTGTCCCTGCCTCCCTTTCTGTGAATTCTTTACCACGAATACAATGGTTTTACCTCTTTGAGTCTTGGCTCTGCCATTTATCCATTGTTTCTCCTCTGGACAAGAGACTTACATTTCCCAAGACTTGACTTTTTCATTTGGTTTGTCTGTTTTCAGTACGAGTGCCCAGGGCTTTAACTCTATTAGTCATCTCCAATTTCTCAACTAGAAATAGGGTTCACCAAAACAATGGTTCTTTACAATGTTCCCCAGTAATTTAAATCTGTATATGATTCATCATTTAAAAAATAGCCCATGTATTTATTCATAAAGGATTTGGTTATATTTTTAGTCATTTAAAATCTAAGCATAAAGTTTGGGTTCACACAATGATCTTAGGTTCTTTTCTTAGAAAATGGATTCTGAGTAAGGATTAGTTAAGGCAGACTAAGTTGGGATAGAATGGTTGCCACAATAAATATTCCTAAAGCGATCCATAATTATTTTTTTAACCCCATGTATTATTCATATTTACAAAACCTTGAGTTTCTGAAATGCAATTAAAATACTATTTTTCCTACTACGTATCTGAGGACATGAGAAATCCATTTGTTTTGTGATGTGAGATGTAGATGTATATGACTCTCAAATTAATTTCTGTATTTGATTTCTAGTTCGAATCCTTCCTTTAAGAAAATTGTCTACAGAGAGTATGAACCATATTTTCTGAAAGAAAAACCACGATCCAAAACTTCAGGTAAGCCGGAAGTACACTCTTCAGTTTTAAAGATGAATCTCTATGAAAATTGGCTATCCCTGGTCATCTAAAGTATCTGTTTGGTGACATTTTTTAGAAATGAGTGCTTTTGTTGTTTTTAAGCAGTACGGGCTGTCTAAGTTGTGGGGGTAGGTGAAAAATGAAGATGTGGGGCCTGGAATTCATATTTTTGAGAATTTCAAAACCGTGTCAGCAAAGCATGAAGCCAGAGGGCCCTTCTTGCACGAGGGTCTGTGCTCACGAAACCAGCTGTTTTTAACACTGATCAGAAAGCTAAACAAAACATTTAAGAGTTTGAGTTTTATTCACTTGTTGAACAAAGTACTGTTGAGCACTGGCTACAGGCTGGGCATTGAAAAAGGCACTACGGACGCCGCAGTGGTCAAGGCAGAACCACATCTACCTTCCTGGAGCTGACGGTCTAGTTCATGGAGCGCAGCTGAACCCTGGCAAGTGATGTTGCTTCCGGCCGGCTCCCTGCACTCGTTCAGAAGAACCATACATGGCTGGTTCTCTTGCATCTGTTTTTCCTTCTCTTCTCCTGTTTTTGTTTTTTTTAAAGATTTTATTTATTCATTTGACAGAGACAGAGAGGGAGGGAACACAAACAGGGGGAGTGGGAGAGGGAGAAGCAGGCTCCCCGCCGAGCAGGGAGCCGGATGTGGGGCTCGATCCCAAGACCCGGGGTTCATGACCTGAGCCGAAGGCAGACGCCCAATGACTGAGCCACCCAGGCGCCCCCTTCTCCTTTTTTATTTAGTGTGAAGTATACAACAGCTGTTGTTTTCAAAGAAAAAATCTTTTTCCTCATCTTTTCTTTTCTTTTTCTGAAGATTGTGTTTGTTTATTTGAGAAACAGAGAGAGAGCATGAGTGGGGGAGGGCAAGGGAAGAGAGCAGAGGAAGCAGGAGAAGCAGACTCCCTGCTGAACCCAAAGCCTCCTTGAGCCTGATATGGGGCTCAATATGGGGCTTGATCCCAGGACCCTGAGATCATGACTGAACTCAGGTCAGACCCTTACCAGATGGATCCGCCCCAACACCCCTTTCCCCATCTCCCCTTTAATCAAAGAAAGTGGGTTGAATGGGTTTTGGAGTTCTTGAATATGATACCATATTTCACAGGAATGGTAGAGGCCATAAAGAGAACTTCCTCCCTTGGGTCGCCTGGTCAGTAATTCACTCATCCTTCTGTACTAACCATGTGAAGACTGGTCACCTTTCCTGGACTCATCCTTCTACCTCTCTGTGCAAACTGTTTAGTCCTGCTTCCTCTGATCTCCCTTTGTCCTCAGTCTTCCTTGGCTAGAACCTTCCCTTCAGCCAAAACGCAACAACAGTAAAACAAAACACAACTATGCTCAGGCCCACCCCTTCCTAGAACAAAATCTCCCCTCGACTGCCTGCCTTTCCTTCAGGGCCGTTTTCCCACATGAGCCCTCCACTCCATTCTCTGTAATACTGTTTCCTCCCTGACCCTCTCTAACGTAAGTCCGCTAAAATGACTCTCAGAAAACGTCACTCATGACTCTGAGATGCCAGAACCCATGGTTTCTTTCCAGTTCTTTTCCTACTCGACGTTACGAGGATGCTTAGTGATCCCCCTTGAAGCTCTTCACTGCTTTCCCCAGTGCCACTTCCCTTGGTGAATGGAGGTGAAGGAAGCAGGAGGAACTTAGAGAAAACTGTTCCCCGAAGCTTGGCTCCATGTGCAAGGAGCGACAGGGAGGTTCTAGAAGGGAAAGAGGGGCTTAAATATATTTTGGACTTTTACAAACAAGAATACAGTGACTTGAGTATCCAGTAGAAAAGGGGAGGGTAATCACGTCGGAGGGAGAGTAATGGCCGGCGCCAGACTCAGAAGTAGGACGTGACGCGATTCAAGAGTTGGGCGGACTCAGCTTGAGGAAGAAGAGGGGTCACCTTCAGGGAAGATAGCAAGGCAGCAGACAGTAAGGTTACCACTAAAACCCAGTTTGTCATTGTGGGCGGGAAGTTGAAGGATCTCCTGTCCTCTGTTGGAGTCTCTTCGTGCTCAGAGCTCTGGTTCCAAGCTTAGTATGGACAGCAGATACTGAAGAAATATTTAACTAAATTAAACTGTAGCTGTGCAAAGGGAAAACGAGCTGGGAAACACACTCACTAGGCCTGGAAAAAAGAGGACTCAGACAGGTGTTTGGAGCCTTACCTGTGTGGCTTTTGCCAAGTTAACTGAATTTGAATGTCTGGGCCATGTAAGCCACTGTGCCGAGAACCGTAAGTGTTAGGCCAGGGCCAGGCTGGAGACTATCTTATGGGCAGGAGGGACTTATTGATAGTTTTTGGAGAGGAGAGTATGTGATCAGAACCCTTTGAGTGGGGGCGCCTGGGTGGTTCAGTAGGTGAAGCGGCCGCCTCCCGCTCAGGTCATGGTCCCGGGGTCCTAGGATCCCCTTGCTGAGCAGGAAGCCTGCTTTGCCCTCTCCCTCTGCCCGCTGCTCCCCAGGCTTGTGCTCTCTATCAAATAAATTAGTAAAATCTTTTTACAGTAATCTTTTGAGATTATTAGCTTTTGTAGAAATTTCCTGATTCAACCTCGTTAATTAGAAGTAGACCTTGATCATTAATTTACTTAAAACTTCACCTCTCTACCGACGCCTGTGTTTCTCATGTCACGTTTGTTTTCTGTGAACTCTGAGGCATTTTCACACCATTTTAAAGCAGCTTCTTCCGGAACTCCCAAAGTTACTTAACTATGAATCCTGGAAAGGCAAGGACTGTGGAGGTCACACTGTTCAAGTGGAGTCCTAGGACTCCACAGTCCTCTGTCCCTCTTGATGTCCGTCTGAGGCTGATGCAGCGCGGCGAGTCGGGGTGAAGCCTGTGAAGCTCTGGGTTCGGGCACCTGTGACCAACTCTGTGACCGACTCTGTGACCTGCCCCGTTCCCAGCCTGGGTCTGGGTCACTGGCACCTTTCCCCTGGTTCCGGCTCTTGGCGGGGGTGATTCCAGCTGAGCCCTGCACGAATGAGTCATGTGACACTTCTACAGCATGAGCCCAGAAGTCACTGTAATTGTGGGTGGGGGCGAGGCCATAGGACTGGGGGTCGGGAGGGGTCCCTGCATCGAGGTTTGCAGCCATGTGGACAAGTGCAGGGACTGGGCTCATTTTCCGGATTCCAGGCTGGGGCTTCGAAATGGCGAGTGTCAACTCTGAGTGTTTTCAAGGAAGGGTATGAAACGTTTGCCCCTGAAGGGGTTCTCAACTAGTACAACACTGGGCTTCCCTGTGTTCTGTAACTCATATGCACCCGAGCACAGGGGATGGGATTAGCAGACTTTATGTTGTCCTTTTCAACTCCAAAGCCGCATGAAATTGGGTACATGCTGTGCTACCTTCCTGGGACCGCAAGGTAGGAGGCCCCTTACCCCACGTCACTGCTGGGACCCAGGCCATTGGGCTGACAGAGGAGCTAACCAGCAGCTCAGGCAGCGCTCATGTGTTTGTCCATGTGAGGGAAGGTATTTGGTTTGCATTTATGAAAACATCCCTTTGTTTTCCCTTAATTCCAAGGAAACAGAAAGGGAGGCAAATAAATACTCCAGACCATTCATTGCAGCAAGAGGTCTTATTAGGTTAAATAACTGAGGAGACTTATCCTGGGCACAGGCATTTGTAGCCATGTGATGCCAGCAAACAAATCACCCAAGCAAGGCACCATGGCAACAAATGCAGCACACACTGTGACCACGTGGCCAGCACTCTTTTGGGCTCCTGGGCATCCCCGGCAGGTGGGAAGAGCCAGTGGGGGCTTCCTTCAGGAGCTAGGACCAAGGGTAGCAGCCAGAAGAGAGAGAGAGCTCAGCTAGTCCTGCCGGTTGTGGTCAGGAGTCACAAATGGTGTAGACATTGGAACTATTTCAGGAGTGGGGGCGGTTCTGAACCTGCTCTGTGCAAGGTGGTAGAGAAAGCTTTGGTTCAAGAGTCCAGAGCCCTGAGTTCTAACCCCAGGGGCACCACCCAATAATTGACTGACCTTGAGCAAGCCATCCTCCCACCCCCACATCCCAGGCTTTGTAAGTATCTCTAAATTGAAGATTGAACAGTGTGACCTCCACAGTCCTGTGCAGAGTGAACACAGAAGCAAACAACACGCTCCAGGCACAAGATCAGCATAAACTCCAGCACTGGGGGTTTGCTGAAAGCAGTAAGAAAACTGCAGGTAGAAAGATAAAGTAGGGAAAGGGGGTTCGGTCTCAGAGATCCTGTTTCCCCATTGCCAATAGGTAACAAATTACTGCAGACTTCATAGCTCAGAACAACACAAATTTATTATCTTGCAGTTCTTGAGGTCACAGGTCCAAAATAAGTTTCACTGGGTTAAAATCAAGGTGTTGACAGAGCTCTCCCCCTCTGGGGGACAGTCATCTCCTTGCCTTTTCCCGTTACCGGAGGCAGGCTGCATGTGCGAGCTCGTGGCCCCTTCCTCCGGTTCAGATCCAGCAGGGCTGTGAGCTCAGCTTTGCCTGTATCCCGTTTATAAGGATGCTGGATGACATTTCCCTCGGGATAATAATCTCGAAAACTCTATCATTTCAAATTTCTTTTAGTCACACCTGCAGAGCTCCATTGGCCACCCCACGTAGCGTATTCACAGGTCCCAGGAGTAAAGATGCGGACATCTCTGCTGGGCCATTATTCTGCCTACCATATCTACCAAACAAAACCTCCCGCAGTGTCCTCATGTCAAAGAAGGGTACCCTCCTGCCCCCGCTCCCCAGCAAGAACATCACCAGCCATCCACAGCAACTTGGTCTCCCTCACCCACCACCCGTATGCCATCCGTCAAGCCCTGACGTTTCATCTTCTAATAGCCCTCTAGCATGTTCTCATCATCACCTTACACTACGTCACCACATCACCCGCCTGTAGCCCTCTGTTCTCTCAGCACCTACTCTGAGTTCTCCCTAGCTCATCCTCCACCAGTGCCCCCAGAGATTTAAAACCCCAAATCTGGTCCATGTCTCACCCCTGCTTAAAACTCTTAATTGGCTTCCAGATACACTTAGAGGTAAAACTCAAAGATGTAGAAGGCTCTACATGATGGGGCTTCTGATCGTGCCTTCAGCCTCATGTTCTGCCTTTCTCTCTTACCTGTTGAACTTGACCTTCACTGTGGCCAGCTGTCAGTTTTTGAATAGGCCAAGTTTTCTGGTGCCACAGGCCCTTGGCACATGCTCATCCCACTCCTTGAAATGTCCCTGCCCATGACTTTGCCTCTTGGCCTTTGGACTTCAGTTAAAGCATTGCTTCCTCAAGGAAGCATGTCCAACCCCCGAGCTCCTCCCTTTCTCCAAGATTGGACACAATCACTCTGTCAGATGCTCTTCCATGTAAGCTGTGCTTTTCTCTCATAATACTTTCCGCAGATTGTAATTAAACGTTTGTGTGATGGTTTGTTAAAATCTGTCCTTCCTATTTTTTTGTAAGCTCTGCGAGGGCATCTATTTTAGTCACCATTACAGTTCTGTAAGTGGGGGCCCGATTAACGTGACCATCAGCCCTGCAAACAAATGCTGGTTGAACTCTGTGACTGCTGCCCCTTTCTCCTCAAGCTCCCGCGGTCTCTGCTGGGGAGAAGCAAACCGCACAGGGTTTACAGGTGGCTGGGAAATGAGAGCAGTCAACTTTTATGGCAAAAGTCACAAACATTTAATTTTGGGAAATTCTCATTTATGATTCTGCCGAAGCCTGACTCAAATATCACCTCCTCCCATAACCCCTCAAACAGAACTGGCCCTTCATCCTCTCCACACCTATAGCACTTTGCCCACATCTCAGCGGTGGCTCCTACCGTACGTTTGCCCCCAGATGAGCTTGCGAGCTCTTCGAGGACAGGGTCAGGGTCTTATTTATCCTTGTGGCTGCAGGACTCAGCACACCTGTCATGTAGGACTTGAGACGTCACTCTTGATATCTGCCCGTCTCACCTGTCATCCCACGGTGTCCTGCATTGAAGTAACTGGTCACGTTGTTTACCCCGTCGCTCAGATAAAACACCACAGGATCACCCTTGGCTTCCCTCTCTCAGAGGCCACGTCAGCCCACCAGCAAATCCAGCCGGCTCTGCCTTCAGAATCTGGAACCCAGTGTCTTCTCCCCACCTACCCGCCGCGCGTGTGGCTTCTCTGTGCCACCTGCTGCCGTTTCTGGTCCCATCACTACGCACACTGTTCTCCACACAGCAGCTAGGGGCTCCTTTTTTCCCCCGCAGAATGAACTTTTAAAACCATGTCTGTCTGCGGCACAAAGCCCTAGCAATTTTCCATTTCATTCAGAAGATAATCCAAATTCCTTACCAAAGCCCGTGAAGCGCCACGTGACCCGCCCCTCCCTCATCTGCTCGCATGCCGCCTGCACTCTTCCTTTCTGTTCTTTGGACGCACCACTCCTGCCTCAGGGACTCTGAACTCACCTCAGGACCAGCGTACCCTGTGACTTTCCCCCTATCCTCCCTTTATTGAGGTCTCTGAGATTCCCCCCTCAGGGAGATCTAACGGAGCCAGTCACCTTCCCTCAAATCATCCTGCACAACTGAAAGTGAACACCTTTCTTCTCTTGGCCAAAGACAGTAATCTGCAAGGAATGACAGGGGTCAGGACGGGGTAGACATGATCAGTACTATTCCTTCTCTCTCTTGACTTGTTTTGAGCCCATGCCAAACATTTCTACCTTCTTGTCCTGTCCTGACTGCATGCAATGTCGAGACAAGGGGCCGGCAAACCCTTCTAGATCAAAGACAAGCAGGCCAGCCTCAGGGCCAAGGGGGATTGACAGCCATCTCTCATGCGGTTCTGTGTTTCTCCATGCTTAGCAGCTCTGTCTTTGGTATTCCTGAACACAGATATATTATAAATACTTGTTTCTGTAGGACTTCTTGGGCCTACCTTGTATGCTGAAGTTGGAGACATCATGAAAGTTCACTTTAAGAATAAGGCAGACAAGCCCGTAAGCATCCATCCTCAAGGAATTAAATACAGTAAATTCTCAGAAGGTAAGAGTAATTTAATATTCCTCTGGCAGTGGAAAACATACAACTCTAATACCGGCGTCAGACATTTAAAACCAGATTGTTAACCACATGTTAGAGAAATCTCCTTTCCTTCGAGGGGTGACTATGAAAGTTGTTGCCTTTGTAAGTCTCAGGGAGGAAAAGGAACAAAATCCAGAGTCGTCTGGACCTCAGGTGTTTACCAGGTTCTTGCTCTTTAACAGCTGGATGGGAAAATTGCCTAATCTTTCGGAATTCCAACATATTCACGTGTAAATGAGAACAGCAATACATGCACATTTCAAAGTGGGTTAAAGCAGGGGGCGTCCACAGACTTCTCTGTGAGAAGCCAGGTAGTAAGTATGTTGGCTTTGGGATCTCTGTTGTAACTGCTCAACTCTTCCTTTCAATACAAACACCATCACAAACAATGTGCAAGTGAATGAGTGTGGCTGTGTCCCGATAAAACTTTATTTACAAAAACAGACAGCTGGCTGGATGTAGCCCAAGAACTGTAGTTTGAAACAGTGGCATTGGACTAATGTGGCACGGGTGGCCTGACACAGGAAGCGTGCTTCATAAGTGGTATTTGGTGGTGGCGGTGGTGGTGGCGATCGAAATCTTATCACAATTTTAGACGAAGTGAAATGGTTAAGAACTTACGCTTTGAAGGCAGACATACGTTCAAATTCCAGATGCGTCACCTCTGGTCTATGAGCATAACCTCTCTGAGCTTCAGTCCTTTCGTGTATAAAATGTGAAGAGTTACACCCACCCCATAAGATTGCTTTGAGGATTAAAATGAGACTGTTCAGGTAGTATCTGAAATAGGATTCCTGGAACATGGGAAGCCCTCAGTAAATCATGATGATGACGATGGCAACGACGGCAAAGGTCACAAAGATGAAGGTGGCAGAAGTGACCACATCAGCCACGAGACAGTAAGTACTGTTGACAACCTTGCTCGGATTATTTCCATCACGATGATGTTCAGACCACAACAAGCACAGCGGAGTTCTCTTAGGAGCTGATATCAGAAAATTGTAGCCATATTGTACTAGGTATTAGTATAATAACACTTTTAAATAACTTCAGTCCTTTCATGACTCACGAATTTTCTTTCTCCCGTATGTTCCAGCCGTCATACCTTTGAAGGGGGGCAATTGAGTAGGAAAGTGGTTTACAGTGCAGGTTCTGGAAGTAGACTGCTCAGTGCAAATCTTGGCTTACGCTTATTAGCTGTGTGACTTTTGAGAAGCTGCCTAACCTCTCTGTGCCTCATCTCTCTCTGTAAAATGAGACTAAGAATCATACTACCTCATATAGGTTTATTGTTATGAAATCTCTGGATAAGGCCTAGCATATAATGAACACTTGACAGATATTAGACGTGATAGTGAAGTTGATTTTTCAGTTAAAATGTATTCAAATTATGTTACATCTCAATTAAAATTTTTAAGTGTGTTCAGATAACACACCTCCTTATCTGGTAATTTGTGGATTACACAGTGCGTTTTACATTTATTATTTCTTATGTAAATCAGTAGTCGAACTCATTCCAACTAACACATACAGGACTGGTAATAGGTTAATGAACTACCCTTCCCTGGAGTATTTGCATCAGCCCTTAATCTTTGGCTTGAGAAAGAACAATGAGCATTAACTGAAATGTCAGACATCTTTAAGGGCCAATTTGGCAAGACTCCGAATGAGGCAGAATGTGCAGGATTCTCTCCTTTCTTCCTAAAATCATACAGTGGCATAACAAACAGCCATTTAACCTACTTATGAGGCTTCCGGACAACTACATTGAGAATTCAGCAATGTCATGCCGGAGGGAGGAACCCCCAAATGTCCCATCCAGGTTCCGTTTCAAATGTGGGAGGAGGTAAGGTTCATGGACTTTGTATTCTATCTGGGCTGTTTGCATAGGGAATGGACCTTGCAACATCATCCCCCTTTCTTTACTGTTTATTTGTTCCTATACTGCCCCCAGCCAGTTGTCTGTGAGCAACTGTTTAAGATGCTCCCACCACTTCCACTGGTCACCTCATTATTGCCCCTAGTTGCCTAAATCCGAGAAAGGTAAATACAGATTGGTGGGGAAAGTGAAATTTTATTTTGGAAATGAGAGACAAACTCAATCTATTTAAGATCGACCTATTTTCATCAGTTAGAAGGGAAAGACAGCCATGGAAAGAATGCTGACTTCAGAGCCAGAATGACCTGGCTTTAAATTTGGGCAATTTGGGGCAACTTTCTTTACCACTAGCCTTTAGTTTTACATCTGTGACACGGGCATAGCGATTCCTCCCATCGAAGGTTATGGCTGGGACCAGTCATAATATGTGTCAAGTTCTGGCCCCATGGTTGATGCATGACCATGTTACCTGCTGTTGGTGTGGTTATTTCGTGGCTCGTCATCGTGACTGCATTAAAATTTGTTCTCAGTAGCTTAGATTAAAGAAAGTCCCTGGCCTTGGATAGTCCTCATCATTTTACTTGTACTTGAACGAAATAAAACTCTCTCTTAGAATTGAGATGTCCAAATGAACTAAAATTGAACAGAAAACCTCAGTTACCCAGAGCACAGAGGAATGAGTCATTTTGAATTATTATATTTTCCAGATAGTTTGGAATTTACTTCTTAAATGTCTAAGATTTTTTTTAAACACTTTGGAGATGTATTTCCCAGACTCTTTAAAACAGAAGATGAGAAGTAAAACTCCAATCTCTTTCTAAGCCATTATTTCTAATCTACTGTGAGATTGTACAGACACCCACGGATATTAGAATTATGTACAGTCTCAGTAGGCAGACTTGAAACAGACTTGAAAATTATTGTCTGTGATATTGTCTATCGGTAAAGACCCTGAGCTTTCATTCGTGGGTTTTGTTTTTTAATATCTATTTTGGTTGGCCAGAAGTCGTGTTGCCTTGAGTGAAAGTCTCATGCTGGCCATTCATCCATAAATCGGCAGTGCCTGATACAAAAGCAAGCTTGTAGCTCAGTGTCGCCAAACCACTCCCACTTGCACCATTCTCCAGGCATGACTGGGAGACTAGTACTTAGGGCAAGGACGAGTAACCCATTTGATGGGCTGGACAAATCATGATTTGCAAAAATGCTCACAAGAACATTTCCTTTAGGCATGTGTTTGATAGGAATATATTCTGAAACCGGGAAATAAAATATCTGCAGCTATACCTGATCACTTAAAAACTTTCTATCACTAAGAGTTTCAATTTGAGGCTAAAATTTCAGAAGCTAGCTTGAACACACAGAACCGTTTCTAATATGCACTGTTGAGCAACTTTTGTTCTTCAGTAAGATTTCTGTAGCTTTTTTGGTCAATTAACTTTAAAAGTTTGCTTCAGAGGGAATCTTAATAGTATTTGTTTATTTGCTTTATGTAGTCACTTAAATGTGTGAGTTGCATGATGAGTATTTTATCACAAAATTAGTTTTATAATATTCAGCTGTCTGCTAGTGATCCAACTCAGAATAGAAATGATAGAGAGACAGACAGACAGATAGATGAGATGCATTTTCCATCAGATATTTTTTTTACATTTGGTGTTGCCAAATTCTCCATATGAAAACTTAGTGTTTTGGATTTTTCCAAAACATTCCAATGCTTATGTGGGCAGTGGTGTTTCACTTTTCATCCGAATATTTTGGCACTTCTTTGAGTATATGATAAATACCCAAAACAAACTGTAGTGGCTGATATAATTCTCATAAATGTCAGAAATGTGAACTCCCCTTCAAGAGAGACTTGCACTCCCCATGCAGTGGAATCCGTTTCCTTAGAAAACATCGGCATTCTACTTTGCCCGTTAAATAAATTACAGCTTCTGAAAGAAGGCTCCTAGTCTTTGAATGTACACTGATGTACACCCTAAGTTAATTAAATGGAGAGGAAAAGGGTTGTTAAAAAAAAATGAGTAACAAGGGAGGATCTCAAGAATGAGCACCCTAGTGGGTAACCGAAGTGGGTCTTTACGTAACTTCACTTTCCCAAAGCTTATACGTAGCATTTTACATTAAAAAAAAATACTGAGAACCTTTTGGCTAATAATTGGTTCATCATGATCAGTAAACAAATTGCAACACTGACTATGGGCAGAGCAGGCAGTGAACAAACTTGAGTAAATATAAAACGGAGGGTTACCCTTGGTGTGAAGAATTCATTCTCGCACAAAGCTGAACAGGGACTTCTTGTGCTCTAGCACAGTAGTCTTTCCTGTCTGTTTCTCCCCTCTTCAGTTAAGAGCTTAAACTTTTATTTCGATTACAAAGTCAAAGTCAGATTCACCAAAAATGTGTTTCATAAATGCTTCCTTTAAGTAGCTGCTTGTATTTCATGCTTCATATTACGTAGGTTGTGAAATCAAAGCTACCACATGCCTCTTTTATTCTAGACTAAATGTAGGATAAAATACTTTAAAGTTAAAAGAATAAAAACACTGATTAAATTATCCCAAGATTACCTCATAAGTAATCCTCACTCAGCATAATTAGAGAATCTTTCCCCATGCACATTTGTTCACTATTTCTTTCAAGATGCTCATTATCCACCTTTTAAGTTATATGGTGAACATAATCAAAACCATTCATTCAATTATTTTATTTTTTAATATTTTATGTATTTATTTGACGGAGAGAGAGAGATCACAAGTAGGCAGAGAAGCAGGCAGAGAGAGGGGGGGAAGCAGGCTCCCTGCTGAACAGAGAGCCCGATGCGGGGTCTCAATCCCAGGACCCTGAGATCATGACCTGAGCCGAAGGCAGAGGCTTAACCCACTGAGCCACCCAGGTGCCCTCATTCAATTATTTTAAGTTTATCTCGTATGTAACTTCGTATTCTTATTCATGTCAAATGAATATGAAATTCTCAATAATTTACTTTGGTCAACCAGACAGACACTTAAAAACCATTGTTTGTTCAAATAAAACTGAATATGAAACCCTGATCATTTAAAAATAAATTGGATAGCAT